AAGAAGTGGCTTATATAGACATTTAAGTTGGGGATTCGCTAAGTCCGTTTTGTATGAAATGTGACGTCATACATTTTACTTCAATGTATCGCCATAACCTTTCAAACCAGACACCACACATTTAAAAAACGAATGCAAGCACATGCGTCATCGCTAAAGTAGACTTTAACTGCCTGAAAATAAGAAGAACTAGCGGGGTTTCAAGGAATGGCGCAATAGTCACGTGACCGGCCGAATTCGGCCGATCGAGTGCTGAAGGGATAATTTGTTGATTACGCAAAAAAATAAAAAATACCTGTTTAATATTCTTCTGTAATCTACCTGACGGACAAACATACAAAAATTATTCGTCATCCCAATTACTCGCAAACTTAATACGACGACCATGGTAACAATTGCATGATTCCTCACAATCGGTCACAAGGTGATTTACGTATTCCTTATAAAATAATTATAATGGAGTAAATTGAAAATTTTAGCAGTAACTATTTGGTTCTATAGAGGAAATTTTCAAATTAATGTCAATATTTTCGTATTTAAAAGATTTTGTTAATGAGTGATATATTCTTTGACTTCGAATTATTTTATAGAATCCCAATTGATGCATGTTTTCATAAAAATTGTTTTAGTTTTATATTAAGAAAATAAACATATTTTAATAACACAAAAATTTGCAAATAGTCCATTGCCTTAACTTTGACAAAATTAATAATATTCAGTATCAACTTAAAAGTAACCTTTTTTTAAAAAATATATGGCCTTGTTCCGTTATACACGGAAATTTTGCCAACATCCCGTAGTGAGAGAGAACTTTTGTAATGTTAACTACAACTTTTAACTACAACTGTTAACTACTTAGACTGAGAGATGTCAAAAGTGACTTACTATAATGACCCAAATCCCAAATCTTTACAAAAATGACGTTAACGACATCTGCCATTATATTATGATTTAAAGTACAAATTTAAATGACAAGTAAAAAGCCGTGTCGGAAGCATATATATATATAAATCTATACTGTTTATTTGCATCGAATACGCCCTGAAAGTACAGGATTCACCAACGAGAATCTACATCATATACGGTAATAATTTAGGCGAGCGAAGTTGCGGGAACAGCTAGTCATATAAGTAACAAAGTCAAACTAGGAAAATATGAATAACAAACAAAAAAACATTTCAATGAAGTCGACAAGACAAGACACATACACAGACGAATAGTGCGGAACTATAAGGGTTCCCAAATATTCACTGAACGCGAATCTTGTGCCAATTAAATATTTAAAATCAGTACAAAGTAACAATGCTCACCAGTAGATTCATCCACCAATGGTTCTCCAACGATGTTCTTATAGTTCTGTAAGAAGTTATGTGGAGCGCGGAACACCCTGATGACCTTACAATAAAATATAACATATTTATTTGAAAATATACATCACAAAAATATGTACAATATACACTATAAAAATATTACTCGACTATATAAACTTTAAAATTTTCGCGTTGCATTATATTAGATTGTATAAGACGAGTATTGTATAAAAACATAGCCTGCATGGACTACATTCATATGTCTTCAATGAAGGATTATTAAAAAATTAGTTCCCGAAATCTTACTAGATGCCGCCACAGTACGTTATTGATTTCTACATGACAACCTTTCCGGTTTTCTTTCAGGTTTAAAAATACCTAAATTAGTTTTCAAAACTCAATAAACAACTCGTATTCTTTTTGTACTTTTTAATGTGATAATTAATAGAAACGGGAATGACTGTCTTTGGTCCATTCATTTCCTGCAAAATCAACTTTTGCTAGAGTCGCCATCTAGTGGAGGTGCTTTTTAGTGCTTTTTTTTGCTAGAGTCGCCATCTAGTGGAGGTGCTTTTAAATACTTCCTCTTTAGATAAACAAAAAGAAAATAACACCACAAAGTAAATCACAGAGAAAATAATCTATATGTAAATGCCATACACTGAAGTCTGTTCATTAACAAGGTTAATAATCAAGGTTTGGTGTGATAATTATCATTGATAACTATCGCGATAACCATAAAACACTACACAAACACTTTTTGTATATTAGGACTTGGTATTAAAAGGGAATCATCTTTAAACAACTATAACATAACATAACTATAAAATACGGTTTTCCTGACAGAAACAATTGTCTAGGATGGACCTACAAAAACAATTAAAAATATGCAACCCCTTTTTATAAAAAAATATTTTTCATTCCTTTATATTTTCATTTCACTTTTGTCAAATGTGATTCCGCAGTTCTTTTTTAGTTTGTATCATTTTTATTATTTAAAAAACAACAAGAAATAAAGTTTATTCATGTATGTATTTAAAAAAAAAAAATTGCCATTAACTACGCATAATTCAATAAGATCAGATGTTTATCGGATAATTATCAAAAAAAAAAAGAATTATCCTAATAATTGTGAACTCTGTGAATAACACAAACTCCATTAAAATAATGCCCAAAAATAAATTGAACTTGTATAATATACCTTCTCTTCAGCAGCAGAAACAAACGTGGTGGGATCGACGATGGCGACCGACACCAGGTCATAGCCGTGCACCTGCGGACGAGCTATCTCGTGCCACTCCGGTTCACCATCTACTTACATACAATGTTACCTATCACATTCTTAGAAAATTAAAAAACAACTAATATGAATGTGACGTAATAACAATCTAGTCATCACCAGCCCTTTTACGTCCCCACTGCAGGGGCCTTCCTTATGGTTGGTTAAGGAGGATGGGCCATGACCCTCCACGCTGGCCCAATGCGGATTGGAGGCTATTAACGACTGCAAATGCAGCCGGGACCAACGGCTTAACGTGCCTTCCGAAGCACGGTGTAGCTCGAGATAATAAGCTTTTGGTCACCCATCCCGTGACCGACCCTTGCGAAAGTTACTTAACGACTACCGCGCGGTGTATGGCCTCCGGGCCGATCCCGTGCATCGCCTTCCATGCGTTCATATTTGACTAGCCCCATTCACTAGATTCTGGGGTGAGTCCGCAGGGGGGAGCCCCACATAACCCGGGAAGCCTGCGCTGGGTGAAGCGGGTATGCAGTAATGCATTTCTCAGCGTCAAAAAAAAAAGTTACTTAACAACTACGATCGCGGGCCGCGGCGCTTATCCAATACGCCACTGAGCTACTCTGAGTTACAATCTAGTAAGAAGCATTAATCTTCGCAAGAACTATTCAGATAAAGGGTGACCAAAAATTTATTATCTCGAGTTTCTATTTATTATCATGCTTTGGAAGCCGTTATGATATGTATCGTGATATATATCGATAGATATATACGTTGATATATATAAATTGATATTTATAATATTTATTTTTAGTTAGAATATTGAGTTCCAGTTAGAAAATCGACCCACCCAATGTGACTGGCAACATTGGCCCAAGTCTTCCCTAAGCAATCTTACTAGAAATTTCGGGTTTTCCCCTTAATATGAAGGAAGTGTGAACGGATACTTATTTCTTTCTTAAAATTTAATGCTTATATTCACATAAAACCCAATCTTTATTTTACACTTTTAATTTAAAATATCAAATATTCAATAAAGCCACTAGCAGCTTAAAAATCGCAGCTTTTCATATGCATGATATATATCGGATAAATATGAAGTATCGGATATTGTGATATTTACTATTCATTGTATTATAAATGTGAAAGTTTCTTTGTTTGGATGTTTGTCCGTCAATCACGCCGAAACTACTGAACGGATTTTGATGAAATTTTGTATATAGATAGGGTATTAGCTGACATAGACAATAGGATACATTTTATCCCACTAAATAATTCCATAGGAGGCCACGCGGGCAAAGCCGCTGGCGGAAAGCTAGTTTATTATAAATATCGGATTTTTGCGAACCCTGCTTTTATATAACACTATATAAAAAGAATAATTACGTAATCAAGCGTGCGTCTGTAGCTAATAAATTATACATATTTACAGTGTTTCACTGTGTGACGTCATTGCGTCCCAAGTATTATATTATGATTATTATGTCCTCACCAGGGCGATTCCATGGCGCGTGTAGTCGAGTAGTCTGGTCAGAGGACACTGACAACAAATACCTGCCGCGCGGCTCCCAGCACGCGTCCTCTACCCCACCGAAATGTCCCCCACATACCACCGACGGTAACCATTGCTCTGTCTCCTAACAAATACAAATAAACATTACGCATTGTCTGAACTCACTGACGCATAGAAACGAAGGTCTCGGCATAACATTATCTATCTCATTATAAAACGAGAACTTACTTTAGTACGAGAATTAAACCATTATTTGACCAATATAAGACAACGAGACACAATTTAACGTTTTCTCTTTTGTCATTGTCGGTTTGCTTTAGTCAAATTGTTTAAACTAAATGCTAACTTTAATAACTGTTTTTGAATAAGACGGTATATTTTTTTAACAGTTTTCATTTTTGCATAATAATATTTGACATAATTGTTTTTGGCTTCCAGTATATGTTGGCATAATTATCTTTGAGGCAAGACACTTCATGTCTTGTATGAAAAAGCTAATCAAACGGTTAGGTTAGGTTAGAAAGAAAGTAGGAAGAAACGACCATATGCTTTAGAATGTTACGCTCAAATATTATTATACTTAAAAAAATAGCTTTAAAAAAATTTGTGTAAATGTAATTGGGAAAAAGTATGCTATAATATATTGTCTAAACATTTTATTCAAATGGATAGAGACCCATTAAGGAAATCTATTTCCATTTTATTATTCAGAATTATGATAAATAAAATTCAATTATCACCATTATAGAAATAAAATATTTTGTCATACATAGTTATTATCTAGTTATAATCGTGTTGACTCAAGATATGAAATAAAATTTGATTCTACTTCAAATTTTCATAACTGTTATTTCTAAGTTATTTACTTAATTGACTACGCCAGCCTTTCCTTTCCCCCTTTTTTTTACATAAGGAGGTACTCAATTCTATCCTATGTCTATCCTACCTTACACAAAGTCCATATATGAAACGAGCCATTATAGCCATGGCCCATGAATGAAGTCCCATTGGGGCCAAATCTACTGCCGTAGAACCCTAGGCCGTTTCCCCCCACCTCACCCACCCGCACCCTCTCCACCCACGCGCCCCCCTCCCCGCGATCTCCGCCGGCTTCTGGCTCCCATATAATTAACGTCTTATCCAATGATGATGAAAGAAGGCGGTACACTGGCACCTTTCTTTTTGTATCTAAAACAAAGTTTTATGATAATGAATAATCAAAGACTACATCATCAAGATCAAATTAGGAGAATTTGACAGAGGATAGATTGATATATCTGTTACACTGTCATTTAATAACATCCACCAGCAAGAGTTTAGTGACGCTGTGTAGAGCTGTAAAAGTAACGAATAAAACTGTACCCGTATGTATTCGTTACTCTAAAAATCATTACTCGTTACTTTCGTATCGTTACGTTACTCGTTACTTCCAATACCTTATATTTATGTCAGAGCTACGAATCGAATCGTACAGTATGATATCGCAACATTCGTTATTTGTAGTAACGTTACTTAAATAAGTACTGAAAAGTGTTATAATTCAAAAGCACTAAATGGGAGTATAAAATCATTTATTTATAATAAAATTAGACATTTTAGGGCAGGAATCTATAGTTCATATTTAAAAATAAAATCTTTTCCTTTAATATTTGGACCGATTTGGAAAAAATCCTTTCAAATGGTACCGAGGTAGTCATCACTGATAAATATTTCTCAGACATATTTGAAAGTTCGGGATATAAAAAATAATGCGTTCTTCTAGATATTGCCTCATGCAATAAATAGTTAAAACTCAAGTGTCTCAATCATAATAACCCTTAAAGATAAGAATTAAAAATACACAATAATAATAAATCAAAACATATACCTATTTCTATTCTGTTATTAATACTTTCTTACCTTGTTTCTGTACCAAAATCAAACTTTTATACACACAATAATTTTACTTGGACGAGTAATTTTCAAATTATTCTATAACAAACGTCGTTTTTTGTAACGTACATTTTAAACTCATCGAATAAGCGCGCGCAATGGGCGCATGCGTAATATCGGTAGGCAGATACCACCAACAAGCGTTTCAATACACGCATCAACGGCACTAGTACATAAACTGAAACAGTATTGGTACTCGGTACATACAAAAAATGCGAGTAACGAAATGCATTCGTGAGTAACGTTTCGTTACTCGGTACTAGACGGCGCACCCGTTACTCAGTACCGAATACATACGATTTGCTACAGCTCTAACGCTGTGTAATGGTGCTTGCAACAGCACCAAAATATCAATTATAAGATTTGATAAAAACAAGGTACATGGTAGCAATCCCGTATATACTAATCATTCTAATGTTAGTAACCATGAAAGTTTAAAACGATAAAATTCCCTGGTTTTCTAGTCACTCTAATTAAAAACTTATTATAATCACAAGTGGATTTTTGTTAAAAATAAAATAGATTTTAAGGTTTACTCATGAAAATAGAGATACTATTTATAATTAACAAATAACTTTATTAGAAAACTAAACTACTTATTGTCGATACTAGTGCAGGTACTGGTCTGACGCCGACGTTATAGTATTATGTTCATGTATTTAGACCAGGGTCGGTAATTATAAAATATTTTTTTGGAATCACCATAATAATTATGAGATAAGTACCTATCTGTTAATTATCCTTAGTTACTGGCAACAATTTAAAAAAATACATATTTGCAATCATATTTTACTAAACTTTTATTTTTGTTGTTTAAAATTATAAAAATGAAATCAAAAAATTAAATCACATTGATGAAAAAGTGAAATGAAAACATAAATATATTTGTTTAATAAAAAGTGGGCTATTAATAATTTTTATGTTTTTGTAGGTCCATCCTAGACAATTTTTTCTATCAGAAGAACAATATTTTAAAGTTGTTTAAAATGATCTCCCTCTAGTACCAAGTCCTAAAGTACAAAAATACTTTTTATAGAGTTTTATAATTAAATCACTTCAAAATATGATTCAGACATGACATACATTTATCAAAAGAATCAGTCTTACCTTCATCAATAATATAGGGATGCCACTGGACCCCATACACCCATCCTTCATGACCAGCAAGTACGGCTTCCAATTTCACTGACCAACTGTGCCCATATGCCTGGAACACTTTCTCTTCAACCATTATCTCTGAAGTGGGTTGGGTTTGAATGTGCTGTTGAATGCACCAAAGACGGATATATGTATCTTGGGATGCTGATGCCAACTTAATTGTGGAGTCATCTACAATTGGTTAATATAAAATCACGCATACGTAAGGGTAAAAACAGGAAGAAGATGAGCATCACTCTGCCTACATGAATCGTTATTACTGCCTTGCACTGTGACTAAAAAACCTATATGCATCATCATTCACATGGCAAAAATAAATGAAAAAGATACACTTAAAAATGGACAGAGCTAATTTATTTGGTATATGAGCAACATCTAATATACACCAAATTGTATGATTAATGGTCATTTGTACAAACATCCATTAATGTTTAATTACAATTTTAAGATCTAATGAGTGCTTTAAATTAAAAAAAAATTATTGGTAATGTTGCTTTAAAATAATGAAAATTTTAAAAGATGTTTAATGTTTATGCAATTGGGCATAAAACTTTATGTGATATCATTTATATAAATCAACACTGGAAATCAAACGCATAGAAACCTACAAAACAAAAATTTTGAGTAGAAAATCTTTATATTTAAAAAATATATCTTATTTTCGTATAAATTGAAGGAACACCTTATTTAATATAGGAATTATTTATTGAAATAAAATAATAGTTTTTCTGCTCTGAAGGACAATTTTGGTTTCACGGGTGACTGTGTGTTTGTTTTTTCAGCATTGAAATATTCTTAACGAAAAATTGCTAAAAAATCACAAATGTCAGGGTGCCAGGGACCAATTGTATTTTTTAAGTATTTATCATCTATATAAAATTTTTTTAGTATCACCAAGAAAATATTTTAAGTATAGCATTATGAAAATTGATCAACTATGACATTTATAAATGTTTAAAATTAAAAGTTTCATACCAACATCTAATACATCTATTCCTCTCACCCAATCCTCGTGTCCTGCTATAGTATGTACTCTAGTATACTCATCATCAGCAGCAAACACATGTATCTTGTGGTCATCAAGAGCACAAAACAGTATAGGTTTATTAACAACTGGCAGGAGATGACCATAAAGTGTTAGGCAGAGACCAGAGTTCAGGCTTATAGTCTGCCTTAGGTTTACAGTTCCTTAAGAAAAAAAAAATTGTGAGTATTGTACCTTATAGGTATAATCTTCTCTATTAGCCATATTTGTTAGATGTTGTTTATTTAAGATAGCAATTAAATTAATAAATATTATATGAATATTTTACATTTCTCCTATATAATTATTATTTTATTTATTGTTTAATAACTGTATAATATAATACAGATGGTTCCAGCTGATATGGGGCATGTAGAATCTTCATTAGATTAAAATCAGAGTAAATTAATTAATTCTGGCAATAGCCAAAAATAATTATGATTTAAATTCAGTATTTTTGTTTAAAATAAGACAGATTATAAATTTAAATCTCAGTTTAACAAAGCTTCACCATGGACCATATACATCAGAAGATGTAAATGGTTGGTGCCTTGTATCTCTGTTATGCCATCCTCAAAACTGGACTATACTGAAAAATTTCTAATTTTCAAATGTATGATCTATACTTTTGGTTCTTGTTTAAAATGCAGTTTGACAGAATTAAATTTTAAGGCAATAGAATATTATTTTGAGAGGTAGTAAATTTTTAAACAGTTTGATTATTAAGGAAAAAGATTAAAAACTACCATTTATTCTTTCCCACACTTTAACAGTTGAATCAATAGATCCCGTAAATATGATTAGGTTATTTCCTTCCATATAAAGACCATGTATGCATGTGATTCCATTCGTATGACCAGCTAACTTGCTTGTCACTCTCCAAATACCATCGCATAAAGTCCAAATCGCAGCAGTCTTGTCTGCCGAACATGACAACAATTCTTTGCACGAGTCATTAGGTTTTCTAAGCCACTTCACGGAATTTATTCTGGAAGTATGGTGATGATACACCGAAAGTGGATCAAGCCCTTTCTGATTCTGCAATTTTATAAATTATTATTTGGAATTAATTTATTTATATAATTTCAGTAGAATTCAGTAAAAAAATGCTATTTTTAACTATACCGTATTGTAAATAACAACTGCATTTGAAGCTCCAAAACAAATATGACCTTCGCTGTTCCAATCAGCTATTTCAGGTATACGGTTACAACCAGCAGACGTATACACTTGTTTTACTGATACTTTCATTATTAATAAGTTATTGTATTTTTCATTAGTGACAAGACATTAATGTTTTAGCAAAATCGCGATCACGTCATTATTTTTAGGTTATATTTATATAAAACATAGATAATATTTGTATATTGGTAATATAAAATGTCAGTGTCAGTCATGTTATGTCAGTAGTAGTCCATGCATGAATGAAAATCGGATAATATCATAGTGGTCATCGCCATCTTTTATTCATTTCATTTTCATTTTACGTGTAAAAATTAATTTATTTACTTGACATTGGCAGAATTGTGCGAAATGCGCAGATAAGTCAGTAATTAAAAAAGAAGAAGAAGTATGAAAATCGCCATCTTCCATTCATGTCATTTTAATTTTACAAGTAAAAATTAATTTATTCACTCGACATTGGCAGAATAGGGAATATGAGTCTGATTCAAAAAAATATATTTTATTACAAACTTTAGCATAAAGTCTATCTAAATGTTTTTCAAAATTTGTTCGTTTTCGTCTTGAAAATAATTATTAAAAAGTGCAAAATAAATGCGGTAACTTCAAAATATTTAAACGGCATGCTACTTGTCAGAGCGGATGTGACGAAAATGAACACGTATAGGGATATCGTTTGTACAAAAAGTTAAAATCGATGCAATAACATCAAAGTATTAAGTCGCAAAATAAACAACACATTACAATTTAAATTATGTTTTAGGTTTTTATTTTTATTTCACCAATTTGGTAAATTATATAATTTATTAAAAAGTCTATTATACTTTAAAAAATCGATTAGTTGTTAATCGATTTGGGTAATTGAATAATAATCAATCACTCAAAATCCATATTTATTTAAAATGTCATATTTCTAGTCGTGTACTTTGACGTCACGACAAGAGCACCAAAAATTCCGGTGTTTAAACTACTCGTAGCTATTACTTATTTTCATCAATGATTAATGTTACAAAATTTTAGTTTTTCGGTGCCGGGTATTTTTTTACAGTTATATATCGATGTTAGTTATCATATAAAACAAATTCCAAAAATGTGCATATTCCCTATTGTGCAAAATGCTCAGATAAGCCATTAATAAAAATAAAAAGGAAAATGGCATTTTTAACGTGATCATCGCCATCTTTCATTCATTTCATTTTCATTTTACAGGTAGAAATTAATTTATTCACTTGACATTGGCAGAGTTGTACGAAATGCGCAGATTACAAAAAAACAAAAAAAAAACAAAAAAATGAAAATGGAAATTGATCGCCATCTTTCTTGCATTTCATTATCATTTTATCCATGTAAAATTAATTTTAATTTATAATCTATATAATGAGGAAGTATTTAAAATAGTAAACCACTAAAAAAGCACCTCACTAGATGGCGACTCTAACAAAAGTTTATTTTTGCAGGAAACGAATGGAATATTAAATAAACGAATGGACCAAAGATAGTTATTTCCGTTCCTTTTAACTAACTTATTAAAAAACTGAAATTTGTAAAGTTCGAAACTTAGATATCAATACAAATACAAAAAAGTACAAATAGAACATGAGTTGTTTATTGAGTTTTGAAAATTTATTTACTTTTATACATGAAAAAAAAGCCGGAAAAGTTGTCATGAAGAAATCAAGAACGTATCGTAGCGACATCTAGTTTGATTTAGGGAACTAATGTTTTTTTTAAATACTTTCTCATTAGCAGTAATTGCTTTAGTAAATATTCTAAGAAAATTACAAAATTTTAATTATTGTGACAAACTATATTAGTCCCCTTATAGTCTTCGGTGTTACAGACAAAAACCTTAAAAACTAAACTCGCTACTTTAAGTTAGAATTTTATCTTTATATAGTCATATTATTCACTTATCCTACAAAGATTTTTCGTGAATAGTTATTTGGTAGTAGCTCGGTGGCGTAGTGGATTAGCGCCGCGGCCCGTGATCGTAGTCGTTAAGCAACTTTCGCAAGGGTCGGTCACGGGATGGGTGACCAAAAAAAAAATAATTCATTTTCATGTGCGCTGCATATTTGGCCACTGATTCCATGAATTTTGCGGAATTAGCGTCGTGCTCGATTTTGTCTGTCACAAATTGTGACGTCATCGAGATAAGCAAACGTGTCCTTTAAAGCGTCTATTTAAATAATGTAATTTATAATAACACACTGAAAGGCAGCATTGCCATTTATGACTCCAAAGGGAATACGAGTGAATTAATAGAAATTGCCATTAACTTCAACGGCCGTATAAATTCTTTCTTTTTGTAGAATAGACACTTGGTAATACGCAGATTTAAAGTCAATTTGTCTGAAATGGTTGAACTTGGCTACTTTTGATACGATGGTTATTTAAATTTGATTGAATAATCTATCACTATTCTCTTTCTGCAATTAAAACTTGTGTTTCACCTGCAATTAAAACTTGTGCTCGCTAGGACGATACGCTAGGCTCTATAATCCCATCTTCAAGAAGTTTATTTATTTCAGATTTGATGAAACTTTAATCTTCTGAACTACAACGTCTAGGTCGGACGGAAATTGGCCTTATATCAGAGGTAAGATTTGTAAACAGAGAAGCGCGGTTCTTCTGAACCTCCGAAGTCATAGTGCAGAGAAAAATGATTTTTGAGTAAGTCGTGAACTTCATCTGCGCTTAAGTTATTTATGATAAATAAAGGATATTGCTTGTACTGATAATTAATTAGTTTGACTGAAGCGTAACAAACACCTTCGACAACGTAAATGGGTCTTAAAGGAGGCTAATGTAATAGATTATTTAGTAGGTTTTATTTTCAGTGTCATAGTCTGTACTAAGTTCCGATCTATAAAGGCTACAGAGCTCCCTGTATCGATTAATGCTTTTGCCCGATAATCGTTGTCAGTAATAGACACAGTAGCCTTTCTGAGACTATTGTGAAGCAGCTAAGATTGCAGACAAATTTTCTTTGCTTTCGCCCACTTCTATCTTATTTTCAGTTACAGCATTTACTCTTTGAGGTTGACCGCTACGAAAAACATTTGCGAAATGAGCTCTCTTTAAGAAGAAATGGCATTCAGCACGAAAAGCTGGGCACTTCATTCTCTGGTTCACATTTCCATCATAAAAGAAGCAAACACTTTTAATACGGTCTTTAGTGTTCTGGCGAGAAGACGAAGGGATAGCGGGCGAGTTTGGTACTGCGTTGAGATATAGAGAAGAGTTCGCGTTCCTGAAATGCTGAGAGTAATCAAGCGAAGTCTTTAGAGGATGCTGAGTCAGCATCTTCTAAAGACTTCGCTTTGCTTCCACCAAAGTAAAGTTTAGTTTTTCCAATAATCTTTCTCTAATTTTAGAGAATTAATTTCGGCAATAAATGGCCCATGCATCGTTTCACTTCGGTAAACTTCAGCGGTTACAGCTTGGAATTTACATTCAAGAGCTAATAATTAGATTTGACGTACTCCTTTAAAGATTCTCCCGATTTTTGTCTCCATAAAGTTAATAGATGTCGGGCAACTATCTTCTTTTGTTTAATGTAAGTTGTTTCTATAGCTTCCGGAAACGTCGAAATATTACGAAAGTAAGAATAGATAGTTGAAGATATGTGGTTTACAAACAACTTTAGTTTTATAGAATCTTCAGTATTCTTTTCACATTCTTCAGAAACAAAATTATCAAATGCAAAATACCAGTGCTTCCATTTCAGATCTTCTCCTGGAATTTTGGCTCCTCCTCAAAGCGATGGTCGTATATAACACATCATACTATTTTTGAGTTTCCCGGAAACTTTTTCGACTCTTTCTATATAGACATTTTGACAATAGCGTTTTACATATAAGATGAATAAATTGTTATGGAAATGAAGACAAGCCCTGAGAATTAAAGTCTTTATATAGCTGATAAAATACATATAGGAAAATAGCAGAAGACAAGAGAAAAACTATGACAATAATGACAAATATTATTGACAATTTGAGATAAGAGTACTACATAATATCTATTTCACCTTTATTGAAATAGAATATAAAAATATTTTCGAACATTGGGTTAAGAACTAAATTTTCACTTCAGTGAATCTTTGAATGTTCAATGAAAACGTTAAATATTATAAAGCATCGAAATAGTTTGAGAATTCAAAGTTATTTATTGGACTTTTGATTTTAAAATTAAATTACTTCAAGGTAATAACTTGTAAGTAAGTAGTAAAAGCTAAAGAAATTAGAACACTCACCCGATTTCCAGGTTATGTAGCATAAACTTTAAAATTACATAAACATGAAGTATTGCTGCGCTAGAAGTCTTTTATTTTCATTCACCATTATGAGCCGTGTTGCGCTCTCATGTCTGCCTACTACTGTATCTACAATTATTTTTATTGATTATTTTTCTTTAAATTACTTTGTATTAAAACAGTTTATTTAGTAAACTGTTACAGAGTCACTTAAATGTTTCGTTAAAGTTATCAATGCCACACACCCAGAAGTTATTGTGAATGTTTTAGAATTTGGAACATGGCGGTAGAGTCAACATAGGAAAGAACCATAGTGGCCGTTATTACACATCAATTAATTCCCTTTATATGGGCCGTAGGTGACAGGAATAGTTTTTAGACGGTCGACCTCAGGATTTAGTTAGGTCAGGTTGAGCTATTCTTTGATTTTTAACCTTATTTGTATTATTGCTAACAGTTAAAATAGTGTGGCTACACCACCAGTAAGACAGTAATAAGACTACATCAGTTAATGGAAAATTTATTTGTATATCCGCCAATGAAATAAGGAGCTCTTAAAAGAACTATTTCAACGTCACTGTCCGTATGAAACAAAGGAGAAAGCAACGCAACAAGTCCGTGTCAACAGCTGCGCGCCACATGTCAACCTTCCGCAGCGCAGTCACCCGCACTCTCACCCGACGCCTGGCAAAAGGGATCTCGTTAATTCTATGCCAGCCTTTATACGCTACGTCACACGATCCCTCGCCCCGCGTCTCAGTCCCTTTCCCTTTCCTCTCGTCACTTTCCCCTTCCATTGTAAATATTGTAGCTTTCTCGCAATTGGTTTAAAATGTACATTTCTCATTGGTTAAGTTTGTATTTATAATTTTAAGGAATTTTAATTGGTAAATATTATATTACGTTTTAGTATAAGTAGCTGTAAGATTTGTAAATAAAACATTCCATTCTTCCACCTTCTACGGAGTTTTACTACCCGACGACATGCAAGCCTACGACCCGATCAGAGTTGCCAAAGTGGAGTCCTCGCAGCCCACGATCGGACCTCAGTTCACACACAACTCACCGGCGTGGCAGCCCTGCACACCAGCAGCTTCGGTCCCGACGTCACAACCTGGCACTTGCAAGCTCTGAAGCACTGACTGCATACCAGGGATGTTAAACGGCCATTTAGAAATCCTTGTACCGAGCTGGCTGAAAACTGGTATTCGAGGGGGGAAACTAGTACGCCTGTGCTCCGCACTGTGGGAAATCGCATCTCAGTAAAAAAAATGCACATTTTAATTTCGTATACTGTTAATAGAGGGCAGTAATTATCGAACACACGGAAGAAATATCACTTTTAACATTTTTTTTTGATATTATATTGCATTTAGGATATAATATGTAAAATATATAGAAAAAAATAAATAAATGATTTGTAACGAAGATTTACAATGATTTGAAGTTTAGGGTGCAAAAAAAATATCCCGTGCAGGAGCTACAATATCTAACATATTAAGAAAAAACGGCGGAAAATGTTAACTGCTCATCGAGACAGCTTGATATAATAAAGTTTTATGACATTAAGGAAATCTGATTGGAATGTTTGTTTACATCTCTGAAATTTGTCGATTATTCTATGTTGTCAGTGTATTTTTGTCGGTCAACGGCCAATCTTGGTATTCTTGCATACAATGACTGAGTAGTCTTGGTACATGGTACGTGACACTAAAAACTAGTATGTATACCAAGAAGTTGGTACGTCTGACATCATTGCTGCATACCACTTACTATCAACATGGATCGACCTTCGGTCTAGGGGGAAAGTACTGTGGCGACTGGTACATAGCGACATCTAACTCATCGCCGTAACATCGCCACAACAATCGATAGCGAGAAGACTAGCATCGTCACAGCCATCGATAGCAAGACGAACTGCAATAAGTTTCAACAGCAAGTAACGAGATGGCGCTGTATCAATACAAGCAGCATAAATTAATAACTATAAGGCATATAGAACAAAGAAACCTACATCGCACTGAATAAGTTACATTACTAATTAGCATAAATAGAATGTCCAACCTACATCTGTTGGACCGCGGTCCCCGGGCTAACAACACCTAGCTCGGAGGGAGACAATTATCCTTTAGTCTCCCTGGCCAGTTGTCTCCATCATCACTGAAGGACCAAACCTTTCAACCTAATGGTTCCTAAAATAGCTAAATATGTTGTTGAACGTTTACTATAAAATTATATGAAATAGCTCGGATTTTTTCAATATAGTTATTTGTAAGGATATACATATAGCTATTTTTTGCGTAAATGCAATTAGAATTTTCGGAATATTTTTACTGCTGCTTTATTTTATTGCTGGACGTAGTCCTCACCCAGAGTGCGCCACAAAACACGATCTCCTGCTGTCTCCATCTAACCACTGCTATTTTCCATTTTCTCGAAAAGGTCGATATTTGGAGAGTCCACCTATATAGAGATAAAAGTCACTATATAGGTGGTTTGTTTTATCATAACTATTACCTATAAATTATTTTAAATAATTTAGGTACGACTCTCTTATACTTACAACAAAATAGTATCATTGAATGTAATGTCAAATTTTTCTGCATAAAACATGCGCATCTCATCTTTCATTTTACGTAAATGTATGTTTACATGTTAAAATTAATTTATTAATCCTGACATTCGCAGATAAGCCATTGATAAAAGAACAAAGAAAGGCATAAATATTTATTGGCGGTAAAATAACTGTCAATTCGATAGATAGTTGTCAAAAAGTCTGCAGCTGTTCGAGTGCTTTTAATTATAGGAAATAAAATATTGTTTATAGAAATGCCTGAAGTCATGATAGGAGGTATACCTGTAGATTTTCCATTTGAACCTTATGATGTACAAAAAGCATATATGGAAAAAGTAGTGGAGAGTCTTCAAAACAACACACATGCTTTGCTCGAGTCACCTACAGGAACAGGAAAAACTTTGAGTTTATTATGTTCAACATTGGCATGGTTGCTGGTGAAGAAAGCCCAGTTGCAAATGAACGCACAGGTAGGAGTTTTTTCTGAACATGCAAGCGGATCTTTACGTGATTCACTAAAATCAGGAGCCGGCAAAGGGAAGGGCAATATTTCCTGGGGTATGCCTAAAATAATTTATTCTTCAAGAACACATTCTCAGCTCACCCAGGCTATGCAAGAGTTAAAAAGAACAAGCTATAGACATGTCAGGGCAACTGTTTTAGGCTCCAGAGATCAAATGTGTATTCATCCAGAAGTTTCAAAAGAAAGTAATAATATGAATAAAATAAATATGTGTCAGCTCAAGGTAAAATCTAAAACTTGTTACTTTTATAACAATGTTGATACCAAAAAAGATGACAGATCTGTTAAAGGAAATGAAATATTAGACATTGAAGATTTAGTTACTGTAGGTAAAAAGCTCAAGTGCTGCCCATATTATTTATCAAAAGAATTGAAACAAGATGCTGATATTATTTTTATGCCTTATAATTACCTATTAGATCCAAAGTCGAGAAAAGCGAATGGTGTAGATTTAATGAATAATGTAGTAATACTCGACGAAGCACATAATGTTGAGAAAATGTGTGAGGAGTCTGCCTCCCTCCAAATAAGAAGTACAGATATTGCAATATGTATTGAAGAAATAACTTATGTAATGAGGTCTTTTAGTGAAAACAGTGAAGAACAGCTGGATTCTACTTTGGATAATAGTCAACCAAAAGATTTTACTTGTGATGACTTATGTGTTTTAAAAGAAATAATGTTGGCATTAGAAAAAGCTGTTGATGAAATAAAAGTAAGCAGTGAGGGTGCTACTTTCCCTGGGGGATTTATATTTGAACTGCTTTCACAGGCTGAAATAAGAGATCATAACCAGATGGCTATTATAACATTAATGAGTAATCTTATAACATATTTATCTACAGCTAGTGCATCTCCTTTTCAGCGTAAAGGTGTGGGATTACAGAAAATTGTTGATTTACTCAATGTTGTGTTTAGTGGTACAACTCATACTTATAAGGAACGAGTGAAAATGTGCTATAAAGTTCATGTACACTTAGAGGATAAGAAAGTCAAAAAGAACTCTGATGGTTGGGGTGCTCTCAAAGCTGTAAGTTCAAAATCTGCAGAAAGGGTTCTTAGCTATTGGTGTTTTAGCCCAGGGTTTGGTATGAAACAACTTTTGGACCAACAAGTCAAAACTATTATATTAACCAGTGGCACATTAGCTCCATTAAAGCCACTTATATCAGAACTTGGTATTCCAATTGATGTGCAATTAGAAAATCCACATATTGTTAAGGGTAACCAGATATGTGTAAAAATAATAAGCCAAGGTCCAGATAATACACCATTGAATTCTAACTATCAAAATAGAGATAATCCAGTATACATTTCATCATTAGGCAGAACTATATTAAGTTTTTGCAGGGTTGTTCCTGATGGACTATTAGTGTTTTTTCCATCATATCCTATAATGAATAAGTGCCAAGAAGCATGGCAGGCAGATGGCATTTGGTCTAATATAAGTAATATCAAACCAATATTTGTGGAACCACAGAGAAAAGACACGTTTAATTCTATAATAAATGATTTTTATAGTAAAATTTGTGATCCAAGTACCAAAGGTGCTTGTTTTATGGCAGTATGCAGAGGAAAAGTTTCAGAAGGTTTAGATTTTGCTGATATGAATGGTAGAGCTGTGATTATTACCGGTTTGCCGTTTCCACCTTTGAAAGATCCAAGAATAGTTTTAAAAAAGAAATACTTAGAGGAGCTGAGAGTAAACAATAAGGAGCTCTTGGCTGGAGATGAATGGTACTCATTAGAAGCTACAAGAGCGGTTAATCAAGCTATAGGAAGAGTTATCAGACATAAAAATGACTATGGAGCAATACTTCTTTGCGATAGTAGATTCAATAGTCCTAAATTGAAATCTCAATTATCTGCATGGTTGAGAGATCACATTAATGTTTCTACTAGATTTGGAGAGACAGTCAGTGAAATATGTAGATTCTTTAAGTCTGCTGAAGCATCCTTGCCTTCCCCAAAACTTAAACCATTACTTCCTTATGAATCTAATAATTCTGTAAAAGATCATGAGCTTAACAAAATAGGGGGAGTGTCATTTCCTATAACTAGTACAAGACTTATAAACAAGACTGCAACTCAAAGATCTGTTAGCCAGTATCCAAATTCTAATGAGGTTTATGCTGACTTCTCAATGGATTTTTATAAGAATGTTCAGTCCTCAAGCTATGTTAATGAATTTAAACCAAAACAAGCAAAGGACCTTTTTAATGTTTTAGATAACAGTAAAGATTTAACACAAGATATAACTCAGTCTTTAGTGTCAATACATAAGAGAGAAGCAGAGGCAACTGTTACTTCTGTAGCCAAGAGAAAAAAGTTGAAAATTAAACCATTTGGTTTTGAAGAAACATTGAAAACTGAAGAAAAACCAAGTAGTATACCTGATAAAGTTGCTCCAGTTTCTCTTGTAGATTTTGTAAAGGAAATTAAAGTATTGTTACTGCCTGATCAGTATAAGCAGTTTCAAACCTCAATATCATGTTACAGGAAAGATGGAGATTATCAAATTTTTATACAATCTCTGAAGGGTTTATTAGAGAATAAGAAAACATTATATTTATTTAAAGGCATGAAAAGGTTTTTAAAAGAAGAACACAAGCAATGTTTTCAGGAATACTGTGATAATATTTCATTTGATAGTTAAAAATGACTTTTTAAGTTAATAAGACATTAATATAATTTTTATTTATACAATTGCATTATAAAATAAAATAGTATTTTATTTATTCTACATTTATTTACTATTCAAATTAAACTTAAAACACATTCTTGGAAGGTTCATTGATCTTACTAGCAATATTGACAGAATTTATTCTCAACATTGTTTGTTCAGCTCTCTGAAAGTTTATCCGCATGTATTGCTTCCTCCTCTTTTTCTTAAAATGTGTCCGGGTGTGTGATAATCCCTTAGAAATCACTGTAGCTGTTACGGTCACTAAACCTGGCTGAACAAGAGGTCTACCAATGAGGGAGAAATCTTTGGTAGCCGCTAATAATACTTTGTCCAGTGTTATCTTGTCTCCGATGTTGGGAGGCCAATATCCTTCGACCACCAGGAGATCTCCATCGGTAACGCGCCATTGCTTACCCAGTAAATGAACTATGGCAAAATTACGAGAAGCATTTTCTTCTATCAGTTTGTTGCAAGCTGATATAACTTCTTTAGGTGTTTGAGGAACTGTTTTGTTTTCAATTAATGCAGAATTTGTTATAAATCTAGAGAGGATCCCACCTGAAAAGTTGTCAATCTTATTAAAAACAAAATAATTTTACAAAGGTTTTACAGTTTCAATAATCATACAAACCTGAACCATTTCTAATGATGTTCGTGATTCTTTGCAAACCAGCCCTAATTACGGACATATTGCGAGAGCGTTATCAAAAGTTTGTTTGTTTTTAAGCTTATTTAAGACTTAGAAAACCATTTTAAATAACCTCTAGCCTAAAATAAAAATATTACAAAGTTATTTTTTTAGTATTGTTCATTATTTCACGGTAGGCAAAGGACTTCCATTCACGCAGCCACGTCATAAACCAAAAGTCAATACACGATATGTAATGTAATACTCTTTGATGTAAAGTCTGACATGACATTTGCATTCTTTTTCTCGAATAATATATTTTAAGCAAAGGTATCTAGCATGCAAGTACAACCTTATCTGAGATGTTTGATTTACGGAAGCTGATCCTAGGTTTTTTCTTATTTAGGGAGGGACTTCTTTCGTGAAATGAACTTTAATAAATATAAATTCGTGGTGGTCGTCTCAGAATGGTAACTGTGTTCGTGGTCATGAATCTACAGTCTGTATAACATGGGCATCAGACATATTTGAAAAGTTTGAGTCATTAACAAAGCATTGTAGTTAAATTTAGGGTCTACTAGATTTGATTTCAAATGATTTGTAATCACATTTGTCGCAAAAGTAGCTGACAGAACGGATGACGAAATAGCACGGAAAACTACTTTTTGCTAAACATTGCGACCGGTCTGGCAGGCCACACAGACTTTGAATTTAGTTTACTTTGATGTGTTGGACATGATGGTGAACCCCAAATGTGTATTGAAACTTTGCACACAGTCGCAAATCTTCTTTGCCACGTCTTTGTAGATATTTGCGTATTTGAGCACATATCTGGCACGTGCTTAATGTACATGGTCATCGAAAGAGATTCAGTAGCGTTTTTAATGCTTATGAGTTGAAAGAAAGAAAACATAAAAATATTGGATTTAAGTATTTATTTTAGATTTAGTATATTTAACAAGTAGAATTTTACTGGAGTATCCTAGCTGGAGTAGCTAAGAGACACAGGCGTTCGGTTAGATCGTTAATTCCAGACTGCCTACGCGGCGTCCTTCATACCTTAACTTTAATTAACAATAATATTTCTTAGTACCTATGTATACTACACCATCTTTGTAATTTAAGCAATATGCATATTATATACAGCAGGATTTAGATGGAATACAAGAGTAATGTACACGCAACAGACCTCTTTCCTATTCCTATGATCCGAATGAAATTCAGGATCTTTAAGGGGTAGTCATTGATAATAAGGCCAACTTCACAGCGCATATAAACTCAATTGCAAAAAAATTATCACAAATGTTCTGTTTAATTTCGTCCATCCGCAAAGCGTCTCATATTACAGGAAATAATTATCAAGAAAAGCGTTTTTATCTTCATATTTCCCATAGATCCGAAATGAACTTTCTTGCGCAGTCGTTGGAAATTGCATGATGTGATGTTCCTCTACAAATGTGTGAATGATTTAATAAAAAAGGAAAAAAAATGTTAATAGTATCGCCATAATTGTCCTATATAACACACTAAGAAAACCTATATCCAAATTGTTCTTTATTTCTGCGTCCCGGAGTAATGTTTTTAGGCATATAATAATGTTTTTCGACTCGCAGTTGACTTTTAAAGCTCGGGTTCCGGAACTCTTTCGTTCTATGGACTAGATTCAGTTGGGTAAGGGATCGAGGTTAACGTGCTCTCTGAAGCTCTGTGTTCCACGTATTTTAATCTGACTTTTAACTGGGAGCCGGAGAGTGCTTGAACCTTTTTATTAGTGTTTTTATTCGTCATAGATTGAATTGTTAGTGTTGCCTTTTATGCAAAGCGTACTTAAAAAAATAGGCATGTATTTAACGCGGCGACAAATGGATACCATTCCGGGTCCTAAAAAAATGAAAATGGATAGTAAATAAACTACTTTGGTAACTAATTTGAGGTAGCATCTTAACTAGAAAGCGGCGGCTTTTTGATGAGTTTTGAGGTTTTATTTAAATTTTATCTGGCAGTGATTTTCTTTTGTGGCAATTGAATTTCTTCTAAGGCGACAAATTATTGACGGATAAAAAAGTTAAAATAGGCTTTCATAAATTCTAAAATGGGGTCGTGTATAAACTCGACCAAGGTCTGAAATAAATACAAACAAGATCTTAAAAAAAAATACTTTTGGCTACATTTGTAGGGATCTAAATAAAGCAAATTGTGACATACATACTAAAAAACTATTCTTGGTCTATTTATTTTTTTCTTGACTATCTTATTTATTATTAATCATCCCTCTTTTAAATGAACTTTAAATGAACCTACCTACTTTGAGTAACTAGGTACTCAAACATAAGAATTGTTGGTAAATCTAGGTAGGTACTCAAAGTAGGTAGGTTCATTTATTCTAGTGCTGTATTTCAGCTTTAAACTCCTTTTTTATTAATTTAGATAGCGTGCAATAAAAGGCGTAAAAATTTTTTCATTGTCTTTTTTCATTAATTTTCCTTCAATACACAAAATATGTAATTTACTTAATAGTCACAAAACCAAAAAAGTTTTAAAGAATTATAAAGGGCGTCGTCTCTTCCTTTTTAATCCGAAAGTAAAGTTAAAGTTTTAGTCGGATGGCTAGACCCAGTATATAATAATAATAATAATATTTATTAGACCACAACAAAATACATGATTTTCGTTATATCTAAGCTATGATAAGCTTTACTGTACCTAATTAGTTTGCATCTGCTGCTGAACTTAGTTAATACCCGTCTTTCGGCATACAGCGCCTCAAAACCTCAAATTCTTGAAATTACTAAGTATATATTAAGCAGATAAGCAACACTAAAATTTGTTTCTTATATTTGGCACATACTTTAACTAACCTACAGTGTTATCCTCTCGGTGAGTAGAATGATAATGACTGAGTGCATGTGAGAGGGTGAGTAAGTTGAGTAGTAAATTATAAAACTTGAAATTCCAAACACTATATCCATATACATTATTATAATACCCATTTTTAGTTTTAAAGCTACCTAACAATCGCTGCCAGATGTGTATTTTTATAATGAAAGGCAATAGTTGCCAGTGAAGAATGTTTGATATCCCCTCGAAAAAATTAGTCGCCACATTAGGTTTTATAATACCTTAACCAATTTTACACTGATCCCGCTTGATATATTTGATACCTTACAGTAGCGGCCATTTTTTAGTTTTTTGATCCTAGCATTTTGTTGCTTGTATAATTTAAGATTAGATTTTATATTTAAGTTGCTAAGATATTTAATCACTGCAAAGTTAGTTTTTTTGTGACTTAATAGAAAGTTGCCTAAAAAGGATTTCAGTTACCGTGTTAAATATTTGCCAAAAAAATATATGTATGTTAAGGATGCTGTGTCAACCTATAATTGGTATTTATATAAGATTTCAATTTAAACTTTATTTTACTGAAGTATGCTGTAATATTTATGCTGTTATTTGTCCATATTAAATCAATAAAGTAAATAACCAATAATCACATTTCTAACCTCTTGGTGACTGTTTAGTACACGGAGTGACTGTACCTTACCATATTCTTTCAGCATCATCATCATCAGCCCTTTTACGCTCAGGCCTCGCTTATGGAAGGTTAGGGAGGATGGGCCATGACCCTTCAACGCTGGCCCAATGCGGTCCAATCCTAACGAGTGCATATGTGCCTTCCGAAGCACGAAGTAGCTCGAGATAATAATTTTTTGGTCACCCATCCCGTGACCCTGCGAAAGTTGCTTAACAACAACGATCGCGGGCCGCAGCGCTTATCCACTACGCTACCGAGCTACTTATTCTTTCATACATTTGGGTTTTTCTAGATATACCTATTAATTAATTATTTCTCCATTTAAGAAGGCACTTCAAACATACATTTGATCTATATATGTATAAATCATACTTGCAAGATTGGTAATTTTGCGATTGGAGCTTTACATTTTCCTTATATGGTGCTTTTTCACTAACACTTTTTCATTTTTATCTGTCTTCTTGCTTTCTTCTATTTCTTTCTTATTCATACTTTTTGCTTTCTTCTTTTGCTTTGTATTAACTCTACTTTCTTAATTCTTCCATGTAAGACTACGAGATGATAGTTGTTCTCATGATTACGAAATCTTCTTAAAACTTTCTTATGATTTCTTTCACGTCCTATTTCTGTCTCTTCTGTTTAGAGAGTGTGTTCGTATACTTCAGTTCCAAAAATTCGCAATTATTAATGGCAGCTACAGAAATAAATCTCAACTGTCAACAGAAAATTTCAACTGTCTAGCTATCACGGTTCATGAGATACAGCCTGGTGACAGACAGACTGACAGCAAGGATTCATTTATCCTATCATCGTTTCCCTACCTTTGACACTGGCAAATACACAAACCATGTGATGTCATAACAAGAAAAAAAAATTATAAGTATTTCTAATAATTTCATATTTTCGCTTAGTTACATCGTACGAGATATAATTTTTTTCCTCAGATTTTATATGTGACTTTCGACATTTTTCTGCACGAGATGAAGAAAATGTGATATATTCCAAAATTTTCGAAGAATCTGTTAGTTTGAGCTAGCAAGGTAGTTTGATTTGCATGAAAGAATTCATCACCAAGCGACAAACGAAGCTCTTTAGATTTATTCCTTTTTATTCTGCTATAAGAATCTTTAAACGATTTACCTAGCACACGATAGTACTAACAAATACAAATAGACTAACAAATAGTTTTCTATAGAATTAAGCTTTTTAGTGTCCGACCGAAACTGGTTTTTACGACCGAAACCGAAAACTAATTTCGCCAACAGTCTCAGTTTCACCCGAAACCAATACCGAAGTTAAAAAAGTAAAATAAAGAAAACGTTATTATAATCAGCCACTCTTTACTTTTTATACCAAAGACATCCCATCAGGTCTTTTACCGTCGTCACTAGTCAGCCCGTTCGGTTTTAGAATGGCTGGCATTGATGCCGTAGCAAAAGCTCGACGGATGATATCATTAATATTTGCATGCTAGGAGATGCAACCAGAACTTTCACTACAATGTAAGCCGTCATGACCTAAAGAGTCCACCGTTTCACCGCAAGGTCAAAGACGGGGGATGTTACAGGTTGCCCCTAGGTGAAGACAAACTGCAAGGCGGAACGTTGCATTATCTAAAAGTGTTCTAACAGTCGGTGACGGCAAGACTTGTAATCAAAGACCA